CTTGCATTACATGGACACTTGTTCTAATTCGGACACCTGCTTTAACATTTCCTTTGGCATAAACATTTCCAAAACAGATAATCAAATGTATATGATATCTTGAACTTGGGTTGGCTCGTGGTGCTTGTTAACCCTTTCTGTCTCCAACAGAATAGGGTTTAAAAGCACCCATGACTAGAATGAAGGTGAGATGTGGGCAAGAAAGAGGGAGGATGCTGTGCTTGAGATATGGCAAGTTTTTGGTGAGTGAAAGTTTATCTTAAGTTTTGTTATCTCACACACGAGACAATAACACACGTTTAAATTTGCCTAGTGGAAAATCACTGCTCTGACCAGGGTGGGGTTTATAGCCAACATCTCACATGGGCACAGGGGAGAGGCCTCCCTCCAGTAGTGTATTTCCACCTTACCCTAACAGGGGAGCTGATTTGCAGGGTGCTTTCTGATTTACTCCGAGGTGGGTTCCTTGTGTCCTCTGCTGCAGCGCGAGGCTGATTGTCCTGTAGCAGAAATGGGAAGCTCTGAGATCTCACTTCTTTCCTTACGCACACCCTGCTTTTTTGTAAAGCTGCTTCACTCATTCAAAATTTGGTCATGTTCCCCTAGTGCATCTGAATAATTGAAGTTTTACTGTAGTTGCCATAATTCATAATTTTACAGCAATTTAGAAGGAAAAACATTCTGAGGTTATGCCTTTCTTTTTATATGGCACGGACCAGATGACAAAGCTAAGATTGCAGTAAATTTTAATTATGGGGTAGGACAGGTGCATGGTATCTGGGAAGGTCGAGGCATGGCCAGGCAGATTGCAACAGTCAGTGTGGGAAAGGGGGACAGTAAGGCATTTATTTAACAACAACAGGAATAAAAATGAGACTGTTTAGAAATATTGACATGCAGGCAGAACTGAGAAGAACTTTCTAACGGGCTTTTGATGCCTGTGGATGAAAGAAAAGTCCTCATGGAAAAGAATGAAACTTCTTCTAAAAGAATCTGAGATTAAAGAGATTGCAGCAAAGGGCACCCCGCATAACTCAGGCAGGGGAGCTCTTGTTTTACACAGCCACAGCTATGTACGGTGCCACCATTGATGGAGGGAATGCTGAAAGCAATGGAATGATGTGGTTCTTGGTGCTTATGTTGGCAGTGGGACAAGGATGGCCTGAGTAACAGGGGCGGCCTAGGAAGAACAGAGACAGCAGGAAAAATCTGGATCTGGATACAGGAATGATGTGGCGATCTGGCTCACCCCAGGTCTGGGCTTAGAAGTTAGGCTGATGTGACTTCAGAGCTGTCTACACTGTGGAGGGAGACAGAGATGAAGAGGATGGGGCCATGTAAGCTGGCCTGCTGCATTCAGGGGCCCAGGACCCCAAGATGACATGGCAGATGCAAGCACAGCGCTAGCTGGCACATCAGTGATGCTGAAGGCCCAGATGTGCAATGTAGACAGCTGAATGTTCATCTTTTGGGAGTAGGCCCTGGAGAGAGAAATGGAAAAACTGTAGGCTGTCCTCTCAGAGAGCTCAGAGCTGGGGAGAAGGATACACACAATACAAGATCAGAGCTTAAATAAAGATCCATTTGCTGATAGTAATGGACTACATAGAGATTTAAGATTTAACCCACGAGGACAGAGCCTGATCGTTGTCTGAGTTCCCGGACTAGCTGGGTGTCTGTGCTGTTGCTGAGCTCAACAAGCTCAAAAGCATCCTTCCTGGACCCCACAGTGCATCCATTTGGGTAACCTTGTCTTTAAGAACTGAGTCATCTCCTCCGTGGTTGCCCTTGATTTCTAAAATGGGTAGAAGCATAATTTGGTGAGATTTTTCATTTTCAGATTTTATTTTATTATTTTAAGGCTGAAGAGTTCAAATCTTTCATTCATCCTTGAAGACATGCCACAAACAGGCTAGTGACTCCAAACCTTCAGGTGTAATGGAACCTCTTTAAGATTCTGCCTGACTCACAGAATTGTGTGTATATTTGCACTTTGCAGGGAACCTGAAACTCTGCTGGAAGCTATGGAGTAAATGTGGGCTGGGGAGGGGGAGCCTCAAAGGGATCAGTGAGACAAGGCAGGGGAGAGGGAAGCATGCAGAAAACATGAAGGTGAGTCATGAAGTTTGCGAGGCTTGTTTTTCTGCTCAGAAGTACACTCATGACAAACGTGAGAAAGGCTAGTCTTGGAAGCAGAAGCAATTTTCCTTCTTTCTCAGGCCCACTCCCAGCGTTCACATGGGCAGAGGACCGAGGGGGTGGATCAGGGAGGGAGGAACCTCCATGCCACTGACAGGCAATGTGAGAGCAGGTCCAGCAGCCTCAGTGACGCCCCTTCCTCCTTCATGGCCTGTGGACAGTGATTGTGTGATGGTCAGGGGACTCTCAGTGAATGCACTGAGGGTGGGTGCTTGGACACATTGAGCAGGGAAAGGACTGACTAACCAGGAGCTGAGTAGAATGGCTGGTTCTCCCATGAGTCCTGGCAGGGTGGGCACTGCATGGTCGAGTGTGTCTGTACTCTGTGAGGGCCTGCTCCTTCTCAAGGACTTCACTGCAATCCACAGACTCAAGTTAATACGCAGGTAGCCTCTGACCCTAAGTACAGGGCAGCAAGCTTAGACACCCATGGGTGCCAGGCAAGCCAGTTACTGCCCACTTTGGGGTAGGAGGTATACTTAGAAGACAGGGTTACTCTGGGCAACTGTTGTGTTCTCTTGTAAACATTAACTTTAAAAGATAAGTCATATATGTGATGTTTGTAAAATAATAAAATTTTGCTGGGAAAATAAAAATCTTCTACAATGTCACTCCTCTGAACATTTTGGGATTTAACTGGATTTCTTTGAGCTTATGGATATACAGTTAAAAATCAATGACAGTGCGATCATACTGGTCCATACCATTTCACTCAACGGCACCTTCTAGATTTCTTGTAAATCACGTCACCTTCTCGTGGGATGGTGCCCCATGCCGCAGTAGATGAATGCATCTTATCCCCTGTGGCTGGATAGTTAGGTTGTTGCAAGCCTTTCATCTTTGCAAATGGCACTATAATGAACCTCACTGCAGATAAATTCCATTTCCAGAGATTAAGGAAATAATTAAAGACAAGTGCAAAAAAAAAAAAAAAAAAAAAAGGATACATTTTTAAGTCTTTGAATACATCTCACCAGATTACCTGAAAAAGTTTTTGACAGTCCCTCCACCCCAGCAGATGTCTGTGAGTGAGAGTGTGACTGAGGACTTCAGAGGAGCATGCCTAGGGATCTTGCTTTCTAGGACATATGTTCATATGTTTTGTAAGAGATTGCAGCCTTCCGGTCCTCCATCTGGCACAAATGGAAACAAAAACACAACAATAGCAATAAAACCAACTTAAAATTGGATATTTAATTAAAAGAAGTTCTTTTTTTGTTGGGGATGAAGATCTGCTTTATCCATTGTTAACATCTTTACTAGAAGAAGAGAGGTTTTAATTAGATTTTGACAGTGGTGTCAGTTTAGTCTCTGTGATCTTGAAAATGCTGTTTTCAGAAGAGGATGGGGTATAGGTGGCCAGGCCCAGCAAGTGAGAGTAGGCCCTCCCATGTATGCCTTCAAGGGCTTCCTCAGAGAGCCTGCCCTGATTAACCAAACTGAACCAGCACCGCCCCAGTCACTCTAGATTAGATTTCTGTTTAATTGTCTCATTAGTGCTTCCCAGTCAGCAGAAGTTGACTCATGTATTGAAAAGATAAATTCAGATTAAATAGAGGCCCTAGTGCCTTCATCTAGAACCTTGCCTGATGCAGAGTAATCAACCAATAAATTGTTGAAAGAATAAATGAAAACCCATTCATTCAGATATATTTTTAGTCTTTGTTGACTTTCTTTGCTATGGTTGATGCAAGGGTGGAGTAGGCCTCTTTTCCAAAATAGGTGTGAAAGCAATCTGACCTAGAAATTTCCAAGATCATGGAAAATTGTCTTTCTTTTTAAAACATTTATGCAAAATTCTTGAGGTGTTCTTGTATCCGGTCTTTCCTCAACCTCAGCACCTCAGAAGTCCTGTGCAATCTTGGGCAGCAAAGTGAAGAAGTGACTGCAAGTTGGGCTTTGGACCTATCTGCAGTGCAACAGCACTCAGGAGAACGACCACACAGTGCTGTTGTGATAAGACCATCTCTGAAGAGGGAAACCTTCAAGTACTGACTGTTTTTAGCTGCAAGGATATACTTAAAATGTTGATGAAGTGTTTTGTGCTGTGAATGCTGTCGTGCCTTGTAGTCATGAACAGAGACCTTCGCAGGTGTGAGGAGAGACCTGACAAAAGGCCCCGCTTGTTTTCACCAGGTGCTCACACACTCTGAGGAACCGGGTTAATCTTGTAGGGGTCAAACTTCAAGGGCAGAGGGCTAATTGCCCTCTCTTACCTGGTGGGATCAGATGATAAAACCAAATTGGAGTGGAGATGGATGGAAGAGGTGGGAATGGCTCAACATCATGATGGAGAGTTGCATGTTGGTCACATGGAGGCAAATAGATTTTTAATAAGGAAAAATAATTACCAGTGAATGAAGTGTCTGACTTTCCTGAAGATTTAAGCCACCTTGAGACCAGAATGAGAAACATCTGGCAAACATTTTAATCAAGGGAAGGAAGCCGTTCTGCCCTCCAAAGAAGGAACTCTTTAATCAAAACCCTGTTGCCTTGTTTATTAGGGGAAATAAGAAATGATTTGGCCACTGGGAGTAACTGCAGCAGCTTCAGAGAAGCCCAGACATGTGTGAAGAGACTGGTGCACCTGAGGAGTGAGGCAGAAGCCTGGGAACATTTTAGAACCAGATGCCACCCAAACCACACGGTGCGGTGGTGATAAAGACTGAAGAGGCCTGGGGCAAGTCTGGCTGGGGGTGGTAGGGTTCTGTGCCCCAAAAGACAGGGACCAGAGGCCCTTTGGTGGAGGGCCAACCCCAGGCAGAACCTGTCATGGCTGTAGACTTCCCATGAACCTGGATGCAGGACTAGCAAGTGGGCATTATAGGTGGCTGATTAAAGACTTTGTCCAGATGGCCACCAAGGGTCCATTTCTGGGTCTTTCCTTGGCTCAAGAAACCTTTTCACTACAGAACTGCACTGGTAACTACAGAACATGGCACACAGAACATGAATGCAAGTGTCTTGTTAAGGCAGTAGAAATTATTATCACAATTTATTTTCGCATTTGTTTTCTCCTTTTGAATTCTGGCATTATAATGGGACACAGCTCAATCAAGGTTCGGCAGCTGAGAAAATGAGAGAAGGTATGGTGTGGCCTGGAGGAATTTCCTGCAGCGGGGTAAATGGCAGGCCAACCCCATCTGGATCTTTCCCATGACCAAGAAACCCTTTCACCAAAGCCTGCTCGTTTCCTACAAGATCTTCCCTGCCCTGATAATCTCTCCATCCTTCCCTCCTTTCTAAAACCAGTATTTTCATTCATTCATTCATTCAAGATGTATTTTCCTGTTTGGAAATTTTCATCCATGTATTGTCTATCTTCCCACCCATCCCACAAGCATCAGAACAGAACCACTTTTGTGGGGGGCTCTGTACCAGCACTGGGATCACACCTTGAATAAAACATTGAATTTGTTTCTTCCGTCAAGGAGCTTAACGTTATCTGGTTGAATACATTCTCATTTAAAACCTCTACCATTCCCAGAAAACTTATTAAAGATGTGATTAAAGAGATAATCATATAACCTTACTTAGTTATTGAATAAGCCTTTTTCCTGGTCCTGAATGCAGGAGTGACGAAGGCTTCTTGAAGACAGTTTGCTTGGCTGTGAACAGTGCTGCAATGCTCAGGAACAAGGCTCAATGCTCAAGGGTGGGAGCTGTCACCACATAGGTAACACCTGCTGTTTTTGTTCCTTGATAGCTTGGCTCAGGAAGGATGATGGTCTGTGAAAGTGAAAACCCCCGGATGAGGGAAAAATCAACATGATCCAATGCTGAACTAGTTTAGGCCTATGCTATTTCCGGTGAAGGGATGCCACTACTGACCACAACCCTGTCTCGAGAAACATCCAGTTATTACCCCTCTCAATCTCTACATACAAGATGAAGACTTTTGACCTGGTCTGTGTCCACTCCAAGCTGATGACTTATAAAAGTGGCTGTGGCTCAAGAACCAGCCAACCACAGGGGACAGCAGGTGCACAAGCTTGTAAGAGTAGAAATGAAAAGGAATCTTTTAACTCAATTTGGAGAAGTGAATACTTGAGCCCTGAGCATCTTTGCAATGACGCCAGCTCAAATCAGGTCAGGCACTTTCTGTGGGAGGCTAATCCCTGATTGCCATCTTGCTTTCCACTTCCATATGGAAGTAACATGCACTGGGGTAGAGGGCATGGGGACAAGGGACTTGCTACATTTGTTCTGACAGCAGTGTGATATAATCACCTATCTCATCTGAGACACCATCATATTTTATATGAAAGACAAGTTCTTTCTCTTTATAAAATGCAATTATACATAAATAGTTCATGTCATCTGCTCTTAAAATTTTAGCAGCAGGACTTAATGCTGCTGGTTACCATGGTAACAGGCAAAGTTGCCGATATTGAATATTACTGTATTAACTTCCTCTCTCTCTCTCTCTGTGTGTGTGTGTGTGTGTGTGTGTGTGTGTGTATGTGTGTTTTAATGGCTGTGTTGCATATAGGGGATAGTTTTTTCCAGACTACAGTGTCAGAAAAGTTAGAACATGAGACTGTCACCAATGTGACAAGTGAATACATTGGAAAAGTCAAGCCCAGCACAGATGCCTTTCATTTCTTGGTCATATCCCTTATTTCTTGCACCCATCCCTCCCTGCCAATTTTATTAAGGTGTAATTGACAAATGAAATTATATATCTTTACAGTGTACAATGTGATGTTTTTATACAGTGTACATTGTGAAAAGATTAAATCAAGCTAACAGATTTATTTTTTGCAGTGAGAACATTTAAGATCTATTCTCTTAGCAATTTTCAAGTATACGTTATTATTGTACATTCAGTGCAATAGATCTGCAGAACTTACTCATGCTGTCTACCAAACTTTGTTCACTTTGACCAACATCTCATTTTGCTCCCCCATCCCCAGTACCTGGCAAACACTATTCTTTGCTTTTGTGAGTTTGAAATTTTATTTCATTTAAAAAATTTTAATTTTTGACGCTGGTGGTATATGTGTTTGTTTGTTACAAGGGTATTGCCTGCATAATGGTAGAAATTGGGCTTCTAGTGTTTCCATCACCCAAGTATTGAACACTGTACCCAACAGGTAATTTTTTAGCCCTCACTCCCCTTCCATGCTCCTCCCTTTTAAGAGTTCCTAGTGTCTATTTGCATGATATTTGCATGATTTCTTTTTCTACCCTTTTACTTTGAGTCTGAATGTGTTTTTAGCCAGTAGGTGGGTCTTTTTTAGACAGCATGTGGTTGCGTCTTATGTTTTTTATAACCGAATTTGCCACTCTGTATCTTTTAAGTGTATAATTTAGGTCATTTACATTGAAAGTTAATATTGATATGTGAAGTCTTGTTCCTGTCATTGTGTTATTAACTAGTTGTTTTGGAGTTTCAATTGTGTAATTGCTTTATAGGATTTGTGAGCTTTGTATTTTGGTATCTTTTTCTGATAGTATAGTATTTTCATTTCCATATTTAGAACTCCTTTGAGCATTTATTGTAGGGTCTGTCTAGTGGTGACAAATTCTCTTAGTATTTGCTTATCTGGGGAAGACTTTATTTCTCCTGCATTTATGAAGCTTAGTATGGCAGGATGTAAAATTCTTGGTTTGCATTTATTTTCATTAAGGAGGCTAAAAATAAGCCTCTAATCTATTCTTGCTTGTAGTGTTTCTGCTGAGAAGTCCAATGTTTGATCAATTTTCCTTTCTAGGTGATTTGAATTTTTGCTCTAGCTGCCTTTAATATTTTTTATTTCTTCAGCATTCACTTTGCATAGTCTGAAGACTGTATGCCTTGGTGATGTTCATCTTGTATAGAATCCCAAAGATGTTCTCTGAATTTTTTGTATCTGGATGTCCAACTCTCCAACAAAATTAAGAAAATTTTCTTGAGTTATTTTCAAATATGTTTTCCAGTGGCTTACTTTTTCTCTTTCAGGAATGCTAACAAGTCATAGGTTTTATTGCTTTAGATAATTCATATTTCTCACAGGCTTTGTTTGGTTTTCAAAATTCTTTTTACTTTTGACAAATTAGTTTCAATGATCAGTCTTCAAGCTCTGAAATTCTTTCTTCTGCTGGTGTAATCCATTGTTAAAAGCTTTCAACTATATTTTCAGATGTCTTAAGTGGACTTTTTATTTCAAGAAGTCGTTTTGCATTTTTTAAAAGATACTTATCTTTCCCATCATTTCCTGGATTGTTTTTATAGTTTCTTGTGTTGGTTATCAACCTTGTCTTCAATCTCATTTAATTACCTTGCAATTTATACTTTGAATTCTTTGTCATTTCTCAGTTTCTATTTTGGTTAGGGTTTATTTCTAGAGAGCTAATATGATCCTTTAGTCATGTCACAACACTCAGATTTTTTCATGATGCCAGATTTCTTACGCTGATTCCTTCTCATCTGGAGCAGCTGCTCATAGAAAGCCACTTTTATTTTTGAATTTATTTTTATTTAGATGGGATTTTTTTTCTTATTATTTTTTTCTTTCTCCATCCTTCCCTTTCCCTAGGGAGTGACTGTAGAGTATGTTGTGTAGGGTCTTTTAGCTTTGCTTCTATAGCCCACGCCCTTCCGTTGGCCAAGCTTTATGTTTGGCTGTGCAGTTCAACCTGCAGGCTAGTAGATGGCGCTGATCGGTAAGAGCCAGCTTGTAGCACAGCAGATAGGTAGGTACTTGGTCTTTGTTTACCTGGAGGTGCTCTCTGTTGCTTCGGGTGATGGGCTGGACAGTGAGGTGCTTGGTGCCCTGAGTTTTCTGTTCAGCAGGGGGTGGGTAGAACTGGGCAGAGCTGGCCTCCCTGGCTTGCCCACAAATACTCCAGTGCCAAGTATAGGGACCAACCCTTATGGGGATCGGCTTTGGGAGCTCCCAGTGACATGTGCTGAGGTCTCTACATGGGGTGAGGGGGCTGCACCAGCTCCATGTGCTAGATAGGCAGGAATGTGATCTATTTCCAATCACACCAGTCCTGGGACTCATTATTCTTAGTTCAGATCCTCACTGTTGTCTACATCCAGGCCACAGTGGGTTGAGAGCTATGGAACACACCTGTCTTGAGACTCTCCACAAGAGTGGTTTTGGGGCAGAACCTTTTCAGCCCAATATGAACAGTGTATGGCTCTCTTTCCTTTGATGTGGTAATGCTGTTGCATTGTGAGGGACAGGGGATATACCCTGCCTTTCAGCCCCTGTGGATGGGTGTCTGTTGTGGTGGTGTCAACTGGTTGGGCTGGCCTGACCTCAGGCCCTGGGAAAAGTGGTCAGGTGCCAGCCCTGTTGGATTGGTCTACATAGTGCCACAGTTCCCAAGCCCTTAGATGGCCTACTGGACAGAGAGCATGGGTCCTTAAAACCCATTTATGCCTAGTGTTCCATTATTGGCATGCTAAGCATATGGGACTTATTTATATCCTACTGCTCAAGATCATCGCTAAGGTCTGATTGGAAAAATTTTAAAAAATTGCAACCTCAGGCATAAATGCGTTAAGGGGCTGGACTGGGGTTGGGGCACCCTAGGCTTCAGGCATTGGCTGTGACAGGGAGGGGGCTGCCTGGTCCCTGAGAGTCTGATAGAACCCTCAGGCGGGGGGCAGGCAGAAGGCCCAGGTGGTGGGAGCCTGAGGGCAGATCACAGGCCTGTGGGGACTGGGCTCTCAGAAGAGCTGTGGTTACAGCGGAAATGTTCAGGCAGGAGCCAGGTGGCCTTTCACGGGGGAAGGGAGGGCCCCTCAGGGCACTGGAGATTGGCATCCGGGGGGCACATGGCTGACTCACACTTTGCTCCTGCAGAATCAGTTCTGGATTTTGTTCTTGGGGGCATGCAGAGGTGCCAGGCCTCCTCTCTCCCTGGCCTGGGGTCAGCAGAAAGTGGCAGATGTCTGTGGCTTGTCGGTGGCCTCTGGGAGTCTGGGTCTCAGAGAAACACCTAGCCAAGGCCAGTGTTTCTGCAGGGGTGGGTCAACTGCATGGGGGACCTGCAGCAGGTAAGCCCCATTTTGCAGGAAGCAGCCGAGGCCAGGAGTGGTGTAGTGTGTGGTCTGGCATCTCCTCTGCACAGCAGCTGTGCTGTCTCTCCTGGGGGTGTGCAAAGAGCCTGGCCTCCCTCCTTGGCATGGCAGCTGGCACCAGGCTGACTGTGGGATTCCAGGTGGGCTTGAGCGGTGCCTCTGCAAAGTCTCTGGGTAGCTCTGTGTTCAGCTGGAGGCCTAAGGAGGATTATGGGGGCCCTCCTGTGGCTAGGATTGTAAAACTCTGTGATGGAGGTGTGAGTCCCGGAGCCATGTCACTTGTGAGAACAAGTGACAGAATTATCCTTTTTTCAAAGCTGAATTGTATTCCATTATACATATATGTATGTGTGTGTGTGTGTGTATATATATATATCAATCTCACATTTGCTGTATCTACTCATCCATTGATGGACACTTAGGTTGATGTTGTATCATGATTATTGTGAATACTGCTGCAAAGAACATGGGAGTGCACATGTTTTATTGACATACCGATTTCATTTCCTTTTGATATATACTGTTGAAGTCAAATAAACTATAGAGATGAATCTCTGACATGAAAATATTTTGTTTAGGAAAAATTGCAATTGGGAAGATATACACAGACTGCGTGGTCTTCGGTGTAACCAAAGAACAAAGAGAAGGTTGGAAGTTTTATAACAAGGAGAAATGTTACGTATTTGTTCTTCAAGAAAGTTCGTGGCACTTGTAAAGTTCTGGGGAGTGAGCAAGCTCTGATTGGTGAGTGGTGGTGATGGTAAAACTAGTCCTAGATTTGCACCAGGTTGTGTCAGTAGCTATTAGATATAACTGACTTCAGGTTACTACAGGCAATTTCACAGCCAGGCTTGCAAATAACTACATTCTTGGGGTGGTGTTACGTACCCTGAGTGTTTTTCCCCTCTGGCTTCTCAACTCTGTTTTCATTCAGTTAGAATGACCCAATTTGTAGAATCAACTTTCACAATACTTGGAAGTGAGACAACTAGATCCTATGGTAATTCTATTCTCAATTTTTTTAGGAATGTCAATACTGTTTTACAAAGTGGTTGTATTAATTTACATTTCTACCAGCAATGTACAGGGGTTCCTTTTTCTCAGCATTCTCATCAACGCTTACTTTTGTCTTTTTGATAATAGCCATTCTAACAAGTGTGAGGTAATGTCTCATTGTGGTCTTAATTTTCATTTTCCTGAAGACTAGTGATGATGAACATTTTTTCATATAACTGTTGGCTATTTTTATGTCTATTGGGTCCTTTGCCGATTTTTGTTTCTTTTATGTTGAGACATATATCCATATGTTTACATATGAGACAGAGTCTTGTTCTGTCAACCAGGCTGCACTGCCGTGGCACAGTCGTGGCTCATTGCAGTCTTGACCTCCCAGGCTCAAGTAATCCTTCCACCTCAGCTTCCTGAGAAGCTGTGACCACAGTCATGCTCCATCACACCCAGCTAATTTTTTTTTCTTTCTTTTTTTGTAAAGACAGTGTCTCATCATTTTGCTCAGTCTGGTGTCAGATTCCTGGGCTCAACAGATCCTGCTGCTTTGCCCTCCTAAAGTGCTGGGATTACAGGTGTGAGCCACCGCACCTGGTCCCTTTGCTTGTGTTTTAATAAAGTTATTTGGTTGTTTTTTGTTTGTTTGTTTTTTGCTATTGAGTTGAGTTCTTCATATATTTTGGAAATTAACCCTTTATCAAATATTCAGCTTGCAAATATTTTCTCCCATTCTGTAGGTTGTCTCTTCTGTTAACTGTTTCCTTTGCTGTGAAGAAGCTTTGTAGCTTGATATAATCCTATTTGTCTATTTTTGCTTCTGCTGCCTATGCTTTTGGTGCCATATCCAAAATATCATTACCCAGACCAATGTCAAGAAGCTTTTCTCCTATGTTTTCTTCTAGTCATTTTGCATTTCCAGGTCTTATATTTGAGTAATTTATTTTGAGTTTATTATTGTATATGGTATAATCTAATTTAATTCTTTTCCATGTTGATACATAGTTTTACCAATACCATTTATTGAAGAAGAGACTATGTTTTCCCCATTGTGTATTCTTAATACCTTTGTTGAAGATTGGCTGTATATATATGTGTATATATATATATATATGGATATATTTCTGGACTGTCTATTCTGTTCCATTGTTCTGTGTGTCTGTTTTTCTGCCAGTACCATGTTGTTTTAATTGCTGTAGCTTTGTAATATATTTTGAGATCAGGTAGTGTGATGCCTTCAGCTTTGATTTTTGTTTTGTTTCATTTCTAACTTCTAAACAATATGGAAGCTTCTGGCTTTTTTCTTCTCACTCATGATTGCTTTGGCTATTTGGTGTTATTTTGTGGCTTCATACCAATTGTAAGATTATTTTTACTTTTTCTGTGAAGAATGACATTGGAATTTTGATAGGAGTTGCATTCAAACTGTAGATTACTTTTGATTATGTGGCCATTTTAACAATATTGATTCTTCCAATTCATAAATATATTTTTTCATTTACTTATATCATCTTCAATTTTTTGTCAGTGTTTTCACTTCCTTGGTTAAATTTATTATTATTTTATTTTTTGATGGTATTATAAATTGAATTGTTTATTTCTGTTTTCAGGTACTTTGTTGTTAGTATATATAGTTGCTACTGATTTTTGTATGTAGTTTTATATCCTGCAACTTCACTGAATTTGTTAGTTTTAACAGTTTTTTGGTGGCATCTTTAGGGTTTTCTATATATAAGATCATGTCATCAACAAACATAGACAATTTCTTTTTTCTCTCCTCTTTGGATGCCATTTATTTCTTTTTCTTACCTAATTGCTCTGAGTAGGATTTCCAGTATTAGATTGAATGGAAGTGACACAAATGGGCACCCCTGTCTTGTTCCTGATCTTAGAGGAAAAACTTTCTACTTTTCACAGTTAAGTGTCATGTTAGCTGTGGGTTTGTCATATGTAGTTGTTACTTGTTGAGAGTTTTTATCATGAAAGCATGTTGAATTTTGTCAGATTTTTTTTCTAGCATCTGTTGTGATAATCATGTTTTATGTCCTCCATTCTGCTAATGTGGGTTCCCATTTATTGGTTTGTGTATGTTGAATCATCCTTTCATTCAAAGAATAAATCCTGCTCAATCATAATGTATGATCCTTTTAATGTACTGATAAATTCGATTTGCTAGTATTTTGTGGAAGATTTTTATGTCTGTGTTCATTAGGGATATTGATTAGTAGTTGTCTTATAATGTCTGGCTTTAATATCAGGATATTGTTGGCCTAATAAAATGAATTTGGAAGTACTTCCTCCTATTCAGTTTTTCAGATAAAAATTTGATAAGGACTGGTGTTAATCCTTCCTTAAATGTTTGGTAGAGTTCACCAATAAAACTGTCAGGTACTGGTCTTGGCTTTATTGGGAGTTTTTGATTACTGATATAATTTCATTACTCATTATTGGTCTGTTTGGCTTTTCTTTTCTTTTCCTTTCTTTTTTTTTTTTTTGAGATGGAGTCTGGCTCTGTAGCCCAGGCTGTAGTGAAGTGGTGCGATCTCGGCTCACTGCAAGCTCCGCTTCCTGGGTTCACGCCATTCTCCTGCCTCAGCCTCCCGAGTAGCTGGGACTACAGGCACCCGCCACCACGCCCAGCTAATTTTTGTGTTTTTAGTAGAGACGGGGTTTCGCCGTGTTAGCCAGGATGGCCTCGATCTCCTGACCTTATGATCCACCCGCCTCAGCCTCCCAAAGTGCTGGGACTGCAGGCGTGAGCCTCCGCACCCAGCCTGGATTTTCTATTTCTTCATGATTCAGTCTTGGTAGGTTGTATGTTTTTAGGAATTTATCTGTTTCTCTAGGCTATCCAATTTGTTGACATATAATTGTTCCTAGTATCTCTAGAAATCTTTTATATTTCTGTTATGTCAGTTGTAATGTTTGCTCTTTCATTTATAATTTTATTAATTTTAAAGATTTTTTATCTGAAAGTTTTCTTTTTTTAGTCTATCTAATGGTTTGTCAATTTTGCTTATCTCTTTAAAAAAAAAAAAACAAGTCTTAATTTCCTGATGTTTTCTATTATTTTCCTAGTCTGTATTTCAGTTATTTGTTTCTGTTTTGATTTTTATTTCCTTCCTTCTGCTGACTTGGGCCTTAGTTTGCTGTTTTTTTTTTTTTTTTCTAATTCCTTAAAGTGTGAAGTTAGGTTGCTTATTTGAGATGTTTTCTCTTTATGTAGGTGTTGGTCACTATAAACTGAACTCTTAGAACTGTTTTAGCTGCATGCCATATAGTTTTGATATGCTATTTTTTCATTTTCATTCATCTCAAGGTTTTTTTTTTTTTTGTTTTCCCTTTTGACATCTTCTTTGACCTGTTGATTGTTTAGATGTGTATTGTTTAGTTTCTACATATTTGTGAATTTTCCAACTGTCCCCCTGTTCTTGAGTTCCAGTTTTATACCATTTTGTTGGAAAAGAAAATTGATATGATTTCAGTCTTTTCTAATATGTTAAAACTTGTTTTGTAGCCTAACATATGATTTGTCCTGGGTGTTTTTTCATGTGCACTTCAAAAGAATTTGTGTTTTGCCGCTGTTGGGTGGAGTGTTCTGTATATGTCTGTTAGGGCCATTAGCCCCAAGTCCACTGTTTCCTTATTTATTTTCTGACTGGATTATCTATAAATTATTGAAAGTGGGATTACTGGCTTGGTGCAGTGGCTCACGCCTGTAATTCCAGCACTTTGGGAGGCCGAGGCAGGTGGTTTACTTGAGGCTAGGAGTTCACGACCAGCCTAGCCAACATAGAGAAACCCTGTCTCTACTAAAAATACAAAAGTTAGCGGGCATCGTGGTGCATGCCTGTCATCCCAGCTACTTGGGAGGCTGAAGCATGAGAATCCTTTGAACCCGGAACGCAGAGGTTGCAGTAAGCTGAGATCATACCACTGTACTCCTACCTGGGCGGAAGAGCAAGACTCTCTCTCTCAAAAAAGAAAAGAAAGGAAGAAAGAAAGACAGAAAGAAAGAAAGAGAAAGAAAGAAAGAAAATGGGAGTCCTCTACTATTACTGTATTGTTGTCTATTTCTCCCTCCCAATAATATTTGCTTTATTTAATAGGTGCTCCAGTGTGCAACCAACATGCATTATATATTTGCAATTCTTATATCCTCTTGATGAATTAACCACTTTATCATTATATAATGACCTTCTTTGTCTCTTGTGACATTTTCTTTTACTTAAAGTCTATTTTGTCTGATATAAAAATAGCCACGCTGGCTCTTTTATGTGTATCATTTTCTTTTTCTTCTTCTTTTTTTTTTTTAAATTATACACTAAGTTCTAGGGTACATGTGCACAATGTGCAGGTTTGTTACATAGTTATACATGTGCCATGTTGGTTTGCTGCACCCATTAACTCGTCATTTACATTAGGTATTTCTCCTAAATCTATCCCTCCCCTAGCCTTCTACCCTAGGACAGACTCCAGTGTGTGATGTTCCCCACTCTGTGTCCAAGTGTTCTCATTGTTCAGTTCCCACTATGAGTGAGAACATGCGGTGTTTGGTTTTCTGTCCTTGTAATAGTTTGCTCAGAACGATGGTTTCCAGATTCATCTATGTCCCTGCAAAGGACATGAACTCATCCTTTTTTATGGCTGCATAGTATTCCATGGTGTATATGTGCCACATTTTCTTAATCCAGTCTATCATTGGTGGACATTTGGGTTGCTTCCTAGTCTTTGCTATTGTGAATAATGCCTCGATAAACTTATGTGTGCATGTGTCTTTATAGTAGCATGATTTATAATCCTTTGGGTATATACCTAGTAATGGGATGGCTGGGTCAAATGGTATTTCTAGTTCTAGATCCTTCAGGAATCGCCACACTGTCTTCCACAATGGTTGAACTAGTTTACACTCCTGCCAACAGTGTAAAAGCATTCCTATTTCTCCACATTCTCTCTAGCATCTGTTGTTTGCTGACTTTTTAATGATCACCATTCTAACTGGTGTGAGATGGTATCTCATTGTGGTTTTGATTTGCATTTCTCTGATGACCAGTGATGATGAGCATTTATTCATGTGTCTGTTGGCTGCATAAATGTCTTCTTTTGAGAAATGTCTCTTCATATCCTCTGCCCACTTTTTGATGGGGTTGTTTTTTTCTTGTAAATTTGTTTGAGTTCTTTGTAGATTCTGGATATTAGCCCTTTGTCAGATGGATAGATTGCAAAAATTTTCTCCCATTCTGTAGGTTGCCTGTTCACTCTGATGGTAGTTTCTTTTGCTCTGCAGAGGCTCTTTAGTTTAATTAGGTCCCATTTGTCTATTTTGGTTTTTGTTGCCATTGCTTTTGGTGTTTTAGTCATGAAGTCCTTGCACCAAGCGGACCTAATAGACATCTCCAGAACTCTCCACCCCAAATCAACAGAATATACATTCCTTTTAGCACCACATAACACTTATTCCAAAATTGACCACATAGTTGGAAGTAAAGGACTCCTCAGCAAATGTAAAAGAACAGAAATCACAACAGACTGTCTCTCATACCACAGTGCAATCAAATTAGAACTCAGGATTAAGAAACTCACTCAAAACCACACAACTACATGGAAACTGAACAACCTGCTCCTGAATGACTACTGGGTAAATAATTAAATGGAGGCAGAAATAAAGATGTTCTTTGAAACCAATGAGAACAAAGACACAACATACCAGAATCGCAGGGACACATTTAAAGCAGTGTGTAGAGGGAAATTTGTAGCACGAAATGCCCACAAGAGAAAGTGGGAAAGATCTAAAATCGACAGCCTAACATCGGTGAATCCAGGAGCTGGTTTTTTGAAAACATCAGCAAAGTTGATAGACCGCTAGTAAGACTAATAAAGAAGAAAAGAGAGAAAAATCAAATAGACACAATAAAAAATGGTAAAAGTGATATCACCACCAATCCCACAGAAATACAAACTACCCTCAGAGAATACTATAAACACCTCTACACAAATAAACTAGAAAATCCAGAAGAAATGGATCAATTCCTGTACACATACATCCTCCCAAGACTAAACCAGGAAGAATTTGAATCTCTGAATAGACCAATAACAGGCCCTGAAATTGAGGCAATAATCAATAGCCTACCAACCAAGAAAAGTCCAGGACCAGACGGATTCACAGCCAAATTCTACCAGAGATACAGAGAGGAGCTGGTACTATTCCTTCTGAAACTATTCCAATCAATAGAAAACGTGGGAATCCTAACTAACTCATTTTATGAGGCCAGCATCATCCTGATACGAAAGCCTGGCAGAGACACAACAAAAAAAGAGAATTTTAGACCAATGTCCCTGATGAACATCCATGCTAAAATCCTCGATAAAATACTAGCAGACAGAATTTAGAAGCACATCAAAAAGCTCATCCACCACGATCAAGTTGGCTTCATCCCTGAGATGCAAGGCAGGTTCAACATACGCAAATCAATAAATGTAATCCATCACATAAACAGAACCAATGACAAAAACCACATGATTGTCTCAATAGATGCAGAAAAGGCCTTTGACAAAATTCAACAGCCCTTTATGCTAAAACCTCTCAGTAAACTAGGCATTGATAGAACGTACCTCAAAATAATAAGAGCTATTTATGACAGACCCACAGCCAATATCATATTGAATGGGCAAAAACTGGAAGCATTCCCTTTGAAAACCGGCACAAGACAAGGATGCCCTTTCTTGCTACTCCTATTCAACATAGTGTTGGAAGTTCTGGCTAGGGCAATCAGGCAAGAGAAGGAAATAAAGGGTATTCAGTTAGGAAATGAGGAAATCAAATTGTCTCTGTTTGCAGATGACATGATTGCATATTTAGAAAACCCCATCGTCTCAGCCCAAAATCTCCTTAAGCTGATAAGCAACTTCAGCAAAGTCTCAGGATACAAAATCAATGTGCAGGATATCACAAGCATTCCTATACACCAATAACAGACAAACAGAGAGCCAAATCATGAGTGAACTCCCATTCACAGTTGCTACAAAGAGGATAAAATACCTAGGATACCAGCTTACAAGGGATGTGAAGGATCTCTTCAAGGAGAACTACAAACCACTGCTCAGTGAAATAAAAGAGGACACAAACAAATGGAAGAACATTTCATGCTCATGGGTAGGAAGAATCAATGTTGTGAAAATGGCCATACTGCCCAAGGTAATTTATAGATTCAATGCCATCCTCATCAAGCTACCAATGACTTTCTTCACAGAATTGGAAAAAACTACTTTAAAGTTCATATGGAACCAAAAAAGAGCCCGCATTGCCAAGACAATCCTAAGCCAAAAGAATAAAGCTAGAGGCATCACGCTACTTGACTTCAAACTATACTACAAGGCTACAGTAAAGAAAACAGCATGGTACTGCTACCAAAATAGAGATATAGACCAATGGAACATAACAGAGCCCTCAGAAATGACACCACACATCTACAACCATCTGATCTTTGACAAACCTGAGAAAAACAAGAAATGGGGAAAGGATTCCCTGTTTAATAAATGGTACTGGGAAAACTGGCTAGCTGTATGTAGAAAGCTGTAACTGGATCCCTTCCTTACACCTTATACAAAAATTAATTCAAGATGGATTAAAGACTTAAATGTCAGACCTAAAAACCATAAAACCCTAGAAGAAAACCTAGGCAGTACCATTCAGGACGTAGGCATGGACAAGGATTTCATGACTATCATCATGAAATATATTTTTCTGTCCCTTTCAGTCATGGACTGAAAGCCTAAATCAGGTCTTTGAGTCCTTAAAGCTAAACTGTGTCTCTTTTAAGCAGAATTTATCTGAATGTTGTTTTTCAATTCATTCAGCCACTCTGTATTTTTAAATCAGAGAACTTAATCCATTTACATATAAATTAATTTTTGATAGGTAAGAATTTAATATTGCCATTTTATTGTTTTCTTACTATTTTGTACTTCCTTTGTTCCATTCTTTCTCTCTCACTGTCTTCCTATGTGATATAACTTTTTGTAGGGGCAATCCTTTCTCTTTATCTTTTGTGTATCTATGTCAGATTTGTGTGTGTGGGTGTGTGTGTGTGTGTGTGTGTGATTACAAGGCTTACCTACATCATAGTTAAGTCATTATATTTTAAGCTGATATCAATTTAACTTTCATTTCATACAAAAGCTTTACACTTTTAACTTCTCTTCCCCCAACATTTTATATTAACGTCACAATTTACACCTGTTATAGGTCACATACCCATTGACAAATTATTACAGCTATAGTTATTTTATTACTTTTGTGTTTAAATTTTTACACTAGAGTTAAAAATGATGTGTCCACCACCATTGCAGTTTAGAGTATTCTGAATTTGACTACATTTTTATCTTTACAGTGAGTTTTATACTTTCATCTATTTTCATGTTGTTAGTTTTGTACTTCTTCCCTGTTTCCCATTCTAAAAACTGTTTCCAGTCTCCATGTCCATGGTACAAAATTCTTTTCATCTTATTCCAGATCTCCTTCCCTTTCTGTTTTTCCTGTTTGCATGCTGTCAGCATTCTCTGTGCCTCTCTTTTGGACTCACTTTCTCTCTCACACATCTCTGCTTGGCTTTTTTTTTTTCCTCATTATAAACAGGTGTTTTCTATGTGTTGAAAAGATAGCCCCTGGCAGCCCCAGATTAACAACTTTTCATCGTAGAAACTCTTTTTCTATTGCAGTTGCTCTTCCCAACATCTGTATATTTGTCCCAGGAAAGGATGCTGATCGGTCTTGGTTGAATCGTATGTCTACTCCTGAGCCCATCACTGCCCTCGGTAATGAGATGCTATGATTGGTTATTTGTGGATTATATGCCCAACCACAGAAAGGGAATGGGGCTGGGCAGTCCCAAACAATAGCTGTTATCATCTACTACAGCCCAGAGTGAGAGATTGTGGGACCTTTTCTCTCTTTCATAGTTCCATAGGAAGGGTATTTGGTTGTTCTTAGGAAACTAAAAGGGAAGTAGGGATTTCTTTGGTGGTTGAAAGCCAGCTTAGGTTCTAGGTATAGATGGCTGATTGAATGTATACATCAACTAGTGTATTAGTGCAGTTCTGAGTAAAGAGAAAGAAGGTTTAAAATATGGATATATATAAACTCAAAAAAGGGAGAAGAAACAAAAACATGGAAATTTGGGGAGTTGAAAAGCACATGGACAAGTGGGAACTGATTTGCTTCTCCCCCCTCTGGCTTAGGAGTCAGCTTTCTCTGGTCTACTGAGAAGCAGCCTGATTTACACTGAAGAACCACTAAAGGCTCGGGAATTGGCACTTCCTGGTACTTCTGGAAGTGGAGGTAAAAATGAGGCTTGAAAAAACAGAAAGTATATTTTCTCAGAGAGGGTGAAACACCAGGCATGAAAGACAGCAGGGGCGCTGTACTGAAAATGGGGTTATATGAACATTTCTATATTGAATGACCCCTGGTTTTCTTCTCACACTCAGCTTCCAGGATGCTGACTGCCAGGCCTGTACTCTATAGGCAGGGGTTTAGAGAAATCTTTAGGTCTCTCTTCTTGGTCGGTTTCCCCAGTGATACTGATATTGGAGGGTCTTTAAGGGAATGCCCCATGACTCCTCTCTGGTAAAGCCCATAGTTGATAGATCTCATCATGTGATTGAGCCTGCCATCAATGTGTTAGTGTCCTCACCTTGAATTACACAGATAGCTCAGGATCTCCAGACAGCTGAGGAAAGCCTGTTACATGAAAGAAGTCAGCACAACCAAAAGTATCCTCAGATTGCCTTTCCTCTCTATTTTATTTTGTTGTTGTTGTTGTTGTTGTTGTTGTTGTTTCTGAGACAGAGTCTTGCTCTGTTGCCCAGGCTGGAGTGCAATGGTGCGATCTCGGCTCACTGCAACCTCCACCTCCTGGGTTCAAGCTATTCTCATGTCTCAGCCTCCCGAGTAGCTGGGATCACAGGTGCCCGCCATTGTGCCCAGCTAATACTTGTATTTTTAGTAGAGATGGGGTTTCACCATGTTGGTCAGGTTGGTCTTGAACTCCTGATCTCAGGCGATCCACCTGCCTCGGTCTCCCAAAGAGCTAGGATTACAGGTGTGAGCAACTGTGCCTGGCCTTTATTGTAGATTTTTAAATATTTGTCTTCCAGTACTTCTGTAGGAATTTTTGTTCATGTTCTACAATTTTTAGCGTTCAATACTTGTTCTCTGAATGTTTCTTTTTATAGCTTTTTTGTTGTATTATAAAATTTTATTATACTAAGGACAAAGGGAAGATACTAGAAGCTTCCAGGAAGGGGAAAAAAGAATTGTGTCATATACAAAGGATCAGGAGACAGAATGGCTTGAAACATTTCAGCAGCAATACTGGAAGCTAGAAGCCAGTGTTGGTTTAATGCCTTGGAAGATTGGAAGGACAATACTTTTCAACCTAGACATCTTCATCCAGACAAGCTATCAAGCAAATGTAAGGACTGAATAATAGCTTTCTTAGACATTAAAGTCTCCTATACTCTGTTATCAAATTATTAGGAGATGTGCTTCACCAAAAGTAGGGTTTAAATCAGGGGAGCGAGAAAAACAGAGAATGGAAATGCAGGATATCTAACTGAAAAGAGTTGTGAAGGAAATTCTCAGATACAGAATGAAGGGAGACCCCAGGGCAACAGCTGTGCACCAGATATGAGGGTGATTCGTGCAGACTGGAGCAAGTCGGAATGGTCTGGAGAGATTCCTTCAAGAAGACCTATGTGGGAAAGTTGGCAGGAAGGAAGGTAAGGTATGGTGGAGGCAGGGGAGCTGTGAAAGAGGAATGTTCTAACTATGGAAGATCAGAGATAATACCTAAAACTAAAAGCACACTATATTGGTCCTTTTTTATATTTCAGAGATATCAAGGTAATATCAAATGAATCAACTAAATGTTGAAAGTGGTTGTCTCTGGGAGTTGGGGGTGGGAGGAATAGAGAGAGGCAGAAGGCTGCTATTTTTGTAGCAAGTCTTGTAAATGTACTTGATTCTTAAACTATGAGTATGTATATCTTTTTGATCAAAGCCAGTTTAGATATCATGCCTAGCTCCCTCTGCAGCTGCCCACTCAGTAGTTGGCCGTGTGTTCCTTCCCAGAGAGTCAGTAGCCCCATGGCTGGTGTGTGGTATATACTGCACACAGAGCACCTCTTTGTGGTAACTGCAGCTGGCAGGCACCCCTGTCTTCTTGCCTACCACATCTCATCTCCAAGGCCAGTTGCTTCCTTGTTGAATTAAACATAATTTCTCCTGTCTCATTTTGACATTGAACATGGCTTTGAGCATTTCCCTGAGTCTGGAGCTACCTGGTTCTTGACAGGAACTGTTATGAATGCTGATGGGAGTATGGGAGGATAAGGGATTTGGTGAGTGCGTGGGTGGGAGAAGCAGGGAGATGGAGGGCGTAGCCCCTGGCTGGGTGTTTTAGATTGTAGCTTGATGTCCAGCAGTCTGGCCCCGAAGTGGAGATGTTGTGCTGCTTGTCCTGACCAGCTTGGTGCCTACCCAAGTCATGATTCTGGTAGCTGGAAGAAAGCCTGACTCACCTATTTGTCTGAGGGTCTTGGGTGGGCTTTTGGGGCTTAGGTTTCACTTCTCTGCCAATGGTGATGGTGATGCCCTGCAGACACTCCTGGCAGGAATTTGACTCTACTTTTCTCAAGGCTTGATCCCAACACCACCCTCTCCAGGAACCTCACTGATTGCCTTGTGGAGGAGAGTTCCTTCCGTTTTTGTGCTGCCATGTATTCATATCTTGGTCATTTTAAGTTGGTCTATCTTTCAAACTTACGTGGCTTTTGTAGGTTCCTGTCATGTCTCCCAAATTACTCCTAACTCAGTGGCTTAAAACAATAGCCATGAGTCTAGCTCACAAGTCTGGGGAGCAGTTGGGCAGTTCTGCTTATCTAGGCGAAGCTTAACTGATCTCAGATGGGCTCACTTACATGTTGTAGTCGACTAGTTGAGGGTCATCTGGGGACTGACTGGTCTAGAAGGCCTTCACTCCCAGGTCTGGAAGTTGGCTACTTGTCACCAGGTGTCCAGAGTTCTCAACCATAAAGTCATTCATCCTCTAGGAGCTAGCTTGAGTTTTTTCACATGGCAACGTCAGGTCCAAGAGACAGAAAAACCCTCAGTGTCCCTTGAGGCCTAGGTTTGGGATTGGCACAGCATCACATCTGCCACATTCTGTTGGCTGAAGCCAGCCCTGATTCAAGAATTAAGGAGATAGATGCCATCTCTTGATGGGAATTGCTGCAGTGACATTACAAAATCACAAAGTCAGGGAGAGAGTGGGGGATTGGGGCGAATTTTGTAACCTACAGCAGAGTAACAAAAAAAATCTAATGTTTTTGAACACTTAAAACAGTGCCTGTTATACAGGGAGTGTTTTATGTGTTCCAATCACATTGTGCCTAAGGTTTCTCGTCTTTGAAACTGGGATGATCATAGTACTCACTTCATGGGATTGCTATGACAATGACATGAGATAGGGAGCTTGCCCAGGGTCATGTGGCTATTAAGTGTAGAGGCTCTGGGACTCAGTGCAGTGCAGTGATTGTCTTACTCTTTCCTGTCATCCACATGGGGATTTGCCCAGGACCTGGCACAGAGCAGGCCCTTCTAAACAGGAGTCTAACTAGAAGAATAAATGCATATGTGCCACAACTGAAAAGGGAACATCTGAGAACCTGCAGAATATCTTCCCACCCCGAATGTTTTGTTATTTAATAGCAACAAACAATTTATCAGTGACAATCTCCGACAGACAAATTATCTCAGAGAAATAGGAGGTGAGGAATTCTTCATCCTGAGGAGGAAAAGGTGGGGCCCTCAGCTCCCTTCAGCGCCATGTTTTCTTCACTTTGGTGAATATGCCAGCCTCCCTATAAAGTCTTCCTGTGTCACTGCAGCCCAAATGAAAATCTGCTTTCAAGGTTTTACAGAGCTAATTACCTCAGATGCCTTCTGAGACATTCAGACCCCAAAGAGTTGAAAGCAGTATTAGGCCAAGCTATAACATAACACTTTGTGTTCCACATTCTAGTATATCATTTTAAATACAGTATCTTCTCATATATGCTCATATGCCCACGTGTTTATTGAATCTTCATTCACCAATTCATCATCCATTCATCTATCCACTCATCCAGTTATTCATGCAATCCACTCATAAATTCATGTACTCATGAATCTACCTTTCCCTGTACCCGACCAAATGAAACTCCGTCTATTTCTACCTATGTTACTTTGGCCACTCATTATTATCCATTCAGTCATCAGTGTATGTATCTTGCATCACCCTCCTATTCATCTGTATATCTGCCCTTCCAAATATCAATTCGACCTTCCCTACATCTATCCCTTCTTACTGCATTACTTGATTCTTCCATCTGCCCATTTAGTAGCCCATCACTATGTTCATTTATCTAATTGTCCATCTATTCATCCATTAACTCATTTCACCCTTATGTTCATGCTTACTGAATCCTCTATAATTTTTTAAATAATATATTTACACATCCCTTCATTCTCTTTTTCCTCAAATCAATTCTTGCTTTCTCCTTCCATCTACCCATTTATTTATCCCTACTGTCAAAGTTCTATATGTATATTAATTTATCCATCTTTCTATCTATTCATTTTTTCTTTCATTTTCTTTTTCTTCTTTTATGTATTTATTTATCTAGACATCCACTCCTCAATCTCCCTATTCATCTTCTTTCATCCTCGTTATTTCTTCCCTCCACCCATCCATGTCTTATTCATCTATTCAGTCTATTATTCATTCGTCTGTCTGTCCATCCGTCCATCCATCCATCCATCCATCCATCCCACTTTGTTTGACCTGCTGTAACAAAAGTACCTTATAGATTGGGTGGCTTAAACAAACATTTCACAGTTCTGGAGTCTGAGAAGTCCAAGATTAGTGTGCCAGCAGGGTCCAGGTTTTCTTACATTGTGGAGAGGAAGCTGTTGCGTGTCTCTTCTTATAGGGCACTGCCTCATCATGAAAGTTCCACCCTCATGACCTAATTACTTCCTAAAGACCCATTGTCTTAATACCATCCATTTGGGGGGGTAGGGTCTTAACATATTAATTTAACACCATCCATTCATCCATTCTTTCCTCTGTTCTTGCAGGGTCCCAATGAGAAGTCTGTATTCTGGACTTGTTTGAATAAAGGTTCTTATCGGGGGACTTCATGGGGGTAGTTAGGATAGGCATTTTGGGGAAAAGTTACAGAAGAAGAGGCAACATATTTGTCTGAACTCTGTGCATGTGTGTGTGTGTGTGTGTGAATGTCAAGTACAGAGTGTAGGTTATATATGCTATGATCAGCATAAATGTAGAAAATCTTAGACATGGATATATATTCCCCTATTAACTAAGTAATTACAGCCCAGTAAGATAAGCACATTGATTACATGCTTCCACAATTTGTCTTTAATCCCTATAAGCACAAAAACTAAGCCTATCTTGGCCAATTTTGTCCCAGTATTTTGCAGTGTCTCCATATGTAATACTAAATACCTAATTAATATCTATTGAATAAAGAATGCAGGATTTGTAATCTGTCACAGAAGTAGAGTTTTTAAAAAAGGAAAGAATGCAGAATTTGTGAATAACTTTAGATCCCATTTCTGAGAAAAGCACTGGGGATGATTCAGCAAGGTCCCATGTGAGCTGGAGGAAGATCGTTGGTCAGGAATGGGAGTAAAGTTAGCCCTTGCACTCCTGTACAGAGCATACAAATTCCACGGTAGTGGGGGTAACTTGGGGCTACATTATGACTTTTGTGGTTAAATTTTGCAGCTGCTTTGG